TGTATACAAGGGCACAATCTTTTACATTACTAGAAGTTCATATAAACCAAAGAATTTCATAATATAACCCCATTCCTCAAGTTGTGAGGCATTATAGAGAAGATAACAGATATCACCTTTGGCTATCTCTACACTATCTGTATTCTACCATTCATTTTAAATTTAATATCAACAATCCTCTAAAGACACTTGTACAAATTCTGTCTTGACAAAAAAAGAACTTTGCCTTGTACACAACAGATCATTCTAGAATTAATCCACTTCTCATTTAAAATATTATATTAATTTAATTTTATGTTCATTCTGAAGCTTTCAAACAGCAGTTATTTTAAATTAGAAGTGAAAGGCAACTCACCGCAGTCTGGGACACCTCCTCTGAAATCTATTACAATTCCAAATCTTTGGCAATGATGAGCATAATGGGCCAGAGCAGAGCAAAAACAAATCTGTCCACATTTGCAAGTGTCTCTTCTGCACTGCTCAAAATAGGGAACAGGACTCAAATAGGGGTAGCATGGAGCAAAAAGGTCTTTCGTAAGGATGCTACAAGCTTCCGCTGCATAAGAGGCTATACAAATAACAGATTAAACACTGTTTCAGTGAGGGAGTTTAAAAAGACATGGAATCAAAAGTGTCTTCTACACCAAGCAACTGATCATGCTTATATACTATTGCCATATATATCTTTTAATCTTTTTTATCTATACAGCTACATGGAAGGTCAGAAAAGAAGCTAGCTGCTCATAGTTTTGAATTTGTTCAAGGGATGATTTTAAGGTATTTGGGAAATTTTATAATACATAGGCAGTGCCTACATACAGTCTTTAAACTGATTCATCCGTGTGGGTTAGGCAACAGATGCTACACACTACCCAGTGCCTTTCAGAAACACACGCTGCTTTAAAGAATAATCTGTTACCCATTGTTTCCGTTGCATGAGACTGTAACCACAGCCAGAGTTGCCAGCTCAGGGTAGCACAGGAGAGGGAGAGCAGTATCAAATAATTGCATAAGAAGCTCCAAACACAGCATACATCTGAGTATCTTAATTCTGAATGCACTAAATATTTGTGCAACAGTAATCAAAAGAAATAATATGCTACATTAGCATACACAGAAAAAGTTAACTTTGTATTCCCCAAAAAATAAGAGGCATGCATGAACTAGGACTTCAAAATTCCTTTTCCAGAATTTCTGATTTCATGTACAGGCCGCTTTTTTTCTACACTTACATCCAAACCCACTAACAAGAATGCAGCTTCTTAGTGCTGCCCATTGTATAATACTCAAAAGATGGGATATGTTGTAGCAGGAGATGTGATGATTTCCTAGCACTGCTGAAATTATAAGCAAAACTTTATTCAATATTTTATCCCTGTATCTTGCCAAAAATCATGTAGAGTCCTAGTCAGGAAGTGGTAGGAACTATGAAACAGTTATAACTGATGATCTACAACAGAGTTTATCACTATTAAAGGATGTCTTAGTGACCATCTGTAGTCCTCATGGCATCAGCCACTAGCATCTTTCCCAACTGGACCCTTTTGGCTGAGTCTAAGGGCTCGCAGTGTCAAGTATCTTTCTCCTATTCATTCTCTCGATATCAGGCAACAAAATCAAACATTCAATTTTTTCAGTATTTTCAAAATTGAATACTTTTGAGTCTCCATCTTAACTAGCAGCATCACCAATACTAGATGTACTACCAACCTTTCATGCATGTCTAACTCAACGCATTGTAACTGCAATCCAGAAATAAAAAGGGGTATTTCGAGTGCCTCTGCAAGTATCATAAAATACTTAAACAATACACTACATGATTTGTTAGGCGACAGAACTCGACAAATGCTACCTGTAAGTATTATTTCATTCAGTGTGTGGGACTGGTTATTACCTTACCCTGATCCAACTAGGAAAATCAGCACAGATAAGTAGAAGTACATTTGTACACAACAGTTGACTTCCACTGCCCACCTGCCTGCAGATGAATATCACATGGATCCATCTGTGAACTATCATGCACAAGAATGCACGCCGATGAAGTTTTCCATGCGTTTCCAAATAGCTCTGGGGTGCTTTCAGTTACTCCAACTGGAGATCTTTTACAAAAGAGAAGTCAGTCACAAAAGACACAGTGAATTTACAGAATGGTCTCAGTTCTACTACCCCCTTCAACAGAGCTGATTCAAACTCCCCTTCCACTGTTCCATATTCTCATGCATTCCCATGTAAAGCAGTCAGCTTAAGTTTCAGGACTCCTCTTTCTTTCCAGGCAAAGGCCCAGAAACAAAAGAGAAGATGTGCCCTTGAGCCATTAGATACTTTGCAAGGAAGGACAGATCAAAACAGAACAAGTTCCATTTTCACAAGAGAGAAGGAGGGAGAACCACTGCCCTGAAAGTCTGCACTCTCATATTCATAATTCTGCCTCCTCAGTGATAACTGATTCATTTTTATCTCTCCTCTACATATAATTTCCTGTCTGTTCCTGGGTAGCTGACTTCCCAGGCTCCCCAGTCCCTGCAAGAAAGAGGAAGAAACAGAAATCCAAAGGTAAAGGAATGTAACTGCACAAGCAATTGAATCCATGAGGATTCAATGAGTTAATCAAAGAGGCAGCGGAAGCTGAAAGATAGAAAGACTTTGAGCAAAATAACCAAGGCACATTTCTATCGTAGGGGGAGAATGATTGAAACAGTGCATTTAAACATGGGATGTTACATTCTTGGGAAGGATTGCATTAGGGACACAACCAGTAATACTACTTCTGGTAAGGTAGCTGGGAGTGAAGGTGTTGCAAAAGGCACCACTGTCTATGGCAAGCGTTCCAAATCTGGTGTGGGTCAGGTGTTTTGTGTACATATCAAGATGCTTGCGCATTATGGTTTGTGTCATGTCTCAGCACAATTCATAAATTCCTGTAGATTAGGGATTTTTTCACAACTGTCAACTATTGAACAACTTCTCACTTATTTGAGAACAAGTCCAAAGACTGTCAAAAACACACTACAAAACTTACGTGCTTCAAACAGAGAACTTTTTTAAGTAGTCTTACATAAATAATCTCTTCATTGAGATCCTGTCTATATATTTCCTAGTCTCATTACAAACAACATTTTAATAACACTCCTTAATCTTTAAGATTGAAATTCATCAAAAAACCCACTAGCGTACTTGTGTGTGTGTTCCCATTTTTCAATGGGAACCATTATGGAAAGTTTTCCCATTTTTCCATTATTTTTGATTTTAAACATTCCAAGTGTTTTAAGAGAAAGAAGTTCTACTCTTCTCTTTCTTTTTCCCCTCCCCTTGGTCAAAGAAATATTCTGTCAAGCTCTAAATTCACATTCTCCTTCTCCCACTTCCATTAGGCTGCTTAATCCTCTGGAAGCTGATTTATTCATTATTATCTGTAGGAAACATGCTACAAAGAAGCTGGACAAAGAGCAAATTTGACTGTGGTGATCAGGCAGCTCTGACCACCTTTAACTGCATCACAGTGAAGCAAAGCTCAGGCAACAGTCAATTCCTGTTGGCCTGCAGGCACTGAACAATGGAGGCTCTGTCACAAGAGAGCAGATTAGAACCTGCAGCAGAAAATAGGAGCTGGAAAGAGATGAAGAGGCTTGCAAGGAGACAGGAAGTCCCTTTTACAAGCCACTCCATATTTTGCACAAAACTCTGCAGATTAAACTAGCACTAGTCAGATATATTTCACTGTATTTTTGTATTACAGTATTTTAAGCAAAACCTGGCTTGATATCCTATAGTTGAATTTACAAATTTTTTGTTAGTAAACTAAAGCCTACTATGTCACTAACAAAACTAAGTAAATTATTCTTGATATGTATATATTCAGCTTCAGCCCACATTTGATCTACCACTCTAACTGTAGATGATATACATATACACTAGCAAATAGAAATCTCGCAGCTATTCATACAAAAAATCGTCCTCTGTATTTCCATTGAATGTTCCACAAAGGCCCACAGTATCATCCCTCCAGCGTCCATCGACTTGAAGGTAAAGCCTCAATCCTTCTCTGTCGTACAGTATCTGTAATCCGATGTGTGTCTTTACTTGAAGAAATACAGAAGAGAGTTTCCGTATTTCAAATAACTCTGGTGAGTAAAAACAGAGACTGTTGAAAAGCAAAGGAAATCTGCCTGTAATTTGCATTTTGTTTCTTATCATTTCACTGGTTTTGTTCTGTATTATTTTGATGTAAGTTACATTTTCTTCCTACTAAGGCCTAGTTTTCCCCTAATCATTGATTTCTCACCATATGTTACTTTGATTCAGACTCTAAAGAAAACAAGAAACTTATAACAGTACTGAACTTTAAAAAAAAATGCATCCAGAGTTCACCAGAATATTCATAAAGGTTAACTAAAAGTAAACCAATTTAAAGATACAAACATCGCAGACCAACACCAGCAACATACTTCCTGTATTAAAGCCTTTTTGGGGAAATGCCTGAAGAACCAAGGCCCCAAATACATTAAATGTACTAATTTTTTGTATAGAAATCTGTTGTTAAAGTTAACATTAAATCTCACAGAACACAGTCCCATATTTCTATCCAGAATATTTGGTAATACCTTCCAGAAGAAGAGATTTAAAAACTCATTGAAGCAAAAAGAAATACTTTTTTTTTTATTTGTAAGTTATCTGTGAGAGGGCTCCTTTCATTTATATTTACTTTAATTGCTTACTAAAAAAAAGAAAAGAAATTATTAAGTTCAAGAATCAGAGAAAATAATTTCTCCTCAGAAAAGTTAATTTGTGAGACATTTTACACAAAATATTAAAAATATACTACTTCCGTATCACAACACATGCATATGCCATTAAAATACTGCTTTAATGCTTGATAGAAGTTGTATGTTTATATATTATTCCTTACCGTCTGCATAAGGCAGGTTAATTTTGTACTGGTCATATACCAAAACATCTCCTGAATGAGTCAGCGTCACTTGCCTCTTGAGGTCCTGCTTAAGAATAAGGCTGAGTGATTGGATACATGATCCATCCTGGTTCTACGAGTAAGAGCAAAACACATTTACAAACAAACAAACAAACCAACCAACCAACCTTAAGAAGGATAAAAGTTAAATAAGATTGCAAGTAAAGCTGTCGTTAGAGTGCAATTGAAAATGTTGATTTGTATCTATCTTATTAGCAGAGAGCACTCGTAAAACACAGCTTTAGTATCTGGAATGATTTCACATGTGTGTTTAATACAGCTCAAAAGTGGGATTTGGAAAGATAAACTAAACAATGCTTACATAGCTAAGTACTAAAACACACCTGCAATTCATGGTACCCCCTCATTAAAGACCCACTGAGACTAAATGAATGCTCGCAAACAAGGCTGCATTATCCACAGCACTGCTGTGCGCAAAAATCAAAATTTGTACTCTAAAGTGTTCTGACATACCTAGGTTCTTTCAAAGCATATGTAAGATACAAAATTCTTTTAAAGGCAAACAATAATGAAAGACTGAAGCATCTTGTGAATCGTTATTTAAAACAGCATTTAAAATCATTATTTCTGAGAGGAGTTGTGGAGTGTGTTCATAAGCTCCCTGGATAAATATTGACCAAAGAAAGGCAGCATCACTACCGCATACAGTATCACAACATCCCACTGACCCATCTTATTGTTACTACCATTGCTTATTATTTTCACTTCAGTTCTCTAGATCAAAATGTCACACAGAAAAAATGTGAAAAGAAATACTGCATTCCAGTCTGCATGAAACATACTCCAAAAAATCCCAGATCAACATCACCTACTTTACCTACAACCACCCTCTTCAGTGGCACTTAATCGTCAACATTACCTAAAGCAGCTATTGACTGAAATCCTAAAAGTCAAAGTATTGAGACTCGTGCTGAAATTCCACAACATAAAGAAGCAACATGTCCTACAGAAGAAATTTTCACAGCAGCTTAAGAATTGAGGTTAACTGTTTTAATCAAAATGGAAGTCGACTATCATGTGTATGTTCTACGTTAGTTATGCTGGACTTTTTTTTCCATTCAAGCAAGTCCTAAAACCAGTAGGTACATAAACAATGTCCCAGACTACTTAAAATTCCTGCATGTTTTATGTTACTGTAGTGACCTTTGACAAGACACCATACCACGGGGGTGGAAAGCAACATAAGTCTGAAGGCTAGTGAATATTGAATGTTTTCAACATACCACAGTAACAGATACACCTGTACTAAATAACATAGAAACTAGGAGGAGAGAGAGTTAACACTAGTCAGTTCCTATCTGGGAAGATAGTTAGGCTAGAACTTCCACCTTTCAGAATAACTACAGGTATTTTGGCTTTCTATGCCAATAAGGAAAGAATGCTCATTAAAGCATGCTTATTACTCACAGAAGATTACCAAATTTTTCTTGACAGAATGAATTTGATCACTGCCTTATCACAAAAAAAAAAGAAAAAAAAAAAAAAAAAGAAAAATGTTCTATCGCAGAGAATCAGGCACAGAGGTAGACCAAGAGATGACTTGAACTTAACTACGTCAGCATTCTGTAATTTACCTGGCTACATGCTGAAAGACATGAGAATCCACCTTCTACTTTTTCTTTTCTCTAGGAAGGGATTATGTTTCTGCCACTCCTGCTATACTCAAATCCCTTTATTATAGCTACTAAGAGATCAGCTTATTTATGTGGATTTAGTGTAGTTGGATAAAGTTAGAAGACTATCTACTCCCTGCCATCTACAGAGGAAAGGTGAAAGCATGCAACTGCTGTTTCTGCTGTTCACCCTCCTTCACTGCAAGACTTTGTAACCATTTAAAAGGTATTCAAGAGCAATGACAAAAATTGGGTCAGTTATTTTTGGCACACTATTTGTTCATTTTAGTCTCATCTTGATTATGCATCTTTAGTGCCTCATCATGTCTTATATACCAAAACATACACATGTCTGAAATCACTTGGCAAAGAGCAGCCTAGGTCTTGCTGCAGGAAATCTCATTGATGGGGTCTGGTCCTGAGTTGCAGTCAAGAAATGTCCAGCAGAGGTGCAGGCAGCTGCACTTTTCACTGCCTACAGTAAAGAAATAACCGATGGTAAAATATTAAAATGTAAAGCATCAGTGGTGCTGGACAAGATGCAGTTAAATATCCCTACCTTTGGATAGTCACACTAACTGCAAAATTATACCATGAATAACACCATTCACAGTGCAAACAGATTAGGATGTTCACTTCAAAGATTTACACTTTTATCCTCCTCTCACTGACTTTCACTGCAATGTGCCTAATACTGGGCAATGTTGCCTTACTCATTGAAAACAATTACTAGGACTGCAGGGATCTCCTAAGGCTACCATGTGGCTTTGACAGATGCTGAACTAGCACAGAGCAGATTATCTGTCAGTCCTTCAAATACCATGGACACACAAGTACACACAGTGGAGTGCAAAGATTAAAAACTACATGAAGAATTTTCCTGTCTCTAAATAGTAGTGCAACAGTGATCTGTCACCAACAGTTGAAATGATAAAATGAAACTTAAAAATAGCAAATTATAAAAATAACTGAAGATACTTCATCAGCTCAATCAGCTCTCCCAAACTGATAGCGAAGACAGACATCTGCATAGTGAAGCTGTGCTTTTGTAGCTTATCTTGTTGTCTTGCCTCTTTACTAAGAAATTAGGTTTCTGACCATGTCACTCAGCAACAGCAGCTATAATTGACAATTTTGTTGGCTTTTTAAGAAGCTAAAAATAAAATAATACCACCTGGTACAAGTAGCAGACCAGAAACAAGAGAACTAGCCTCCATGTTATATAAAGTACTACACAATATGGACAAAAGCTTTATTATTCTTTCATGCTGAACTGCCTGACAATTGTTCTCTGTTCCAATGAGCTGCTGCTTTCACAGCACTGCCCCTGCTAACTTTCAGCAGGTGTTTTCACAGGAATGGTAATATCTTTCAGTAGGCACTAAAAAAGAAAAAAAAAACAACCCTATATTCAGAAGACCTTCTCATCATACAAACTACAAAGCCACTGAGGTTGTCACCTGAAACTCAGATAATGTCAAGCTGTGCTGATCGCTGGACTGATTCTCCTTCCAACAGGTGCTTAAAGAAAATTTCACATCATTTTGAAATAACTTGTTGCCTGATGACTGTTTATGTCACCAGATCTAAGGCTCTACATGACTGGATTCTTTGTGATTCAGAGAACTAAAATCTCCCTAGGTATTTTCTTTCTACATTTTTTAATCTGCTTGAATGAGATGGGACTGATAAGGTTGGGGTTTGTTTTTTTTTTTTAAAAAAAAAGCACATAAAATCTCAAAATATCAAGAAATACGAGATTCTGCACTACAGATCTTTTAGCTTCCCATTTCAATTCATTAAGTTTTATAAATAGGAAAAAGATAATGGATGGTGCCTAGCAAACTGTAAAGCAGGTCTTCTGCCAAGTGGTACCAGCTAGTTGATAAGACACTTGAATAGCTGCACTGAAGCCTCACATTCTTGCGTTATAGTACACAGACTGTCCTCACTACCCTCCCATAACTTGTACAGTGATAATTTAACTAGCAGCATGTAGCCCTGGAACATACCACGCAAGTGTCTTCTCACCCTCCTGCTGTCCAAAAACCTTCACTCAAACCTCTGTAAAAGTCTGCACCTATTAGGGACTGATGAGGCTAGCTTTGTTGGAGGCTAAGTGAAGTATGAAGCCCAACATATAGTAAAAGCCAAGAGAATCTGGGTTTTTTCAGCTACAAACTACTTGGACATGGAGACATATTAAGCAAACTCCCTAGTCAGCATAAAGAAGATGCAAGAAATACTACAAGGTTCTTTGTGATCTCAAGTGCTGCAAAAAGCCAACTAATTTGATTATCTCTTCCCCCAACAAAAGTATCACCACAACAACTAAACTGAAAGGCACATTTCTGTCTGTCTTTCACAGAAATAAGTGTTCTGTGACACAAAATGGAATGAGACACATAATATATATCCTGCACATTACCGTAGAAGATATTTGCTCCAGACCTCTGTTATTCATTGATGGGCTTTTCAACAGGTCAGGCTGAGAGGTATCTAACTGTGGGCTTCTGCAAGAAGTCAATCATGCTTCAACTTTCATTTGATAAAAAAAGTTGCCTAGAATATTTCTTTGGGGATCCCCTTTGCTTATCTTCAACCATATAGTACAGGATATAGCTTCAATACACTCCCACCTTTCTCAGGTTTCTTGGACTCTGTTGTTCAACTATTTCATCATTAAGGAAAGTTGTTGCTACTGATTAATTTTAATATATTCCATTGCAGGTAGCTTTCATTATTTTTTATGTTTAGTATTTCTCCCCCCTCCCCTCCCCCACAATAAGCCCTTAGCATATGAACATTACAAGAAGGTTCTAAGCCTTACCTGTCCACAAGGAGCATTTTGCAAGGATATGGTAAACGCTCCAGATGTACGGCTTTTTGCTAGAATATATTGGCAGGTAGCTTGGAAAGTGTATTTGCGTCCATCAAAGGTCATGAAATGTGTGTCTCCTGAAACTGAGCATTCAGCTGACAAACAGAAATAATGTATTGAAGAGTGCAGGAAAGACTGTGTGCTCTCAACAGCTATTACTGCTCTAGAGTTCATACACTCTGATACAAGTTATAATTTATAAAACTGTATTCATATTATAACCAAGTATTAGGAACACAGTTAAAAAGTGATCCGTATCCTTGCTTTTGTTATGGAGTTCCTACCTGGTGCCAGGCCAAGATATCTAAACAATTTACCCTGGAGGTGACAATAATATGTGTAATCCTTACATTTTTAGATTTGCAGAAACATTAAACACTCCCACATTTAACTCGTAACTCCAAGACCAGTGCTTGAAATCTACTGGCAACCATAAGAACCATGCAAAATCCTGTTGACCTTAATCTCTGTAGTTTAGCTGCCTACCTGTGAAGTGGGAAAAACACCCATCATTCCACAGGCATGTAAAAATAATTAACTGGTATTTGTACAGTACCTAGACACTATATCTCTAGCCAGCAATACTGGGGTGGGGAAGGCAGTTTTGCCATACATCTGTCAAGTGAAGATTGCAGAGGAAACTTTAGCTGAATGACAAGAATGACAAGGTACTGCCATTTACCAGAGACATTATGGGGATGTATAGGGAGACATATTAGTGTGCTAAGCTGAAAGGCAAATTCCTGCTCTTTCAACTATTTTAATATTTGATCTACTGTGTGTTGATGCATTTACATGTAGATAGAAATAAAAATGCCAGTTATATAGTGAAGTAGCTTACTAAGATTTAACAGTAATATTTTACCAAAAATAGAAATTCAGTTATTAAATAATTAAGTATTCAAGACTTTGACATACCTGGACATGTAAGATTTGTACAAATCCACTTTCCTCCAATGCAAGTGCTGAAATAAAAATTAAAAAAAAAGTTTTGCACTTCTTTTTTTTTTGTTGTTGTTGGTTTTGTTTTTTTTTTTTTTTGTTATTGTTGCTGGTTTTTTTTGTGAAGTGTATATGGCTGTCCCTCAGTTGTTCTTCCTGTTTTCCTTCTACATGAAGTGGGCACCAGGCATCTTGAGTCTCACAAAACGGTACAACAGAGCTATCACACTCACTGGAATGCCTGGGAGCTGTGGCAAGAACTTGTCATGAGGATATGATCAGGTGAAATTTCATCCATGCATCCAATCACACTTTTCTTTCTTTTTATCTCCTTGATAACCATTATAAAAGTTAAGGATTATTAAAACTGAGAAGAACAAACGCAAGCAATTTGAATCTTAATACTTTAAAAAAAATAGAACTGCTAGGAAAAAACAAGTTGCACATCTGCATGCTCATCCATTTAATCAATTAACTTTATCCAATAAAGACATTATGTCTTCCAACAAACTTTTCTTTCCAATGTGTAGAATTAACTTAGAAATTCCCAAAACAGCAGCTTAGTGTCATAATGACATTAGGCTCTTTGTGTCCAAGTGAGACAACAAAACCAGGAGACATAGTAAAGTCTTTGAGGCAGAGTTTAAGGTGAAAAGAGTATTAAACATTACAGTATTCTCTGCAACATCTGTCATTCACTCATTTCACATTAATAGCTCTATAGTTTCTTTTATCTTTCCCTTTGCTGCAAAACATAAGAAACAACAGGTTTTGCACATAGAAAGAGTGAGTACTTACCAACTTTATTCAATTCTTAATCAAAATAGGCCTTATAGAAATTGTTTCTCATGACCATGGAAGGCTTAAGTTCACAGCGTAAAAAATTACTAACCAGTTATTACATTCCTCATAAACCACTGAGCCCATTTCAAAGAAACTTCCATGGTAGTCACAAGGACAGTCCATAGGTTTGACACACGATTCATTTTCATAAATTAAGCCTAGAAAAAATAAAACAAGGAAAAAGTAAAATATCTGTACAGATGGCTGTTGGAGCACTAAGTATATACAAGAACAATGTGAATAGACATGTATGATAATAAAACTCTAGATTATTTTTGTTTTAGTTTGATTTGAGCTATATTAAATATATTACATTATGTGGACCAAGTCCCTAAATTGTTTAAGATACAGTGACAATATCATGAATAACAAATATTTAATATTGAGGGGCAGGGGGAAGAAACGACCCACAAAGAAACTAAAAAAGCAAACACACACACACACAAACGGCAAACCATGCTGTTCTGACACATTTACAAATCTTTGCATCTATGTTTTTTAAGGTACTGTTTGGTCTTTATTTTACTATAATGGGGTTTTTTTATTTGGGGAAGATTTTGTGTGTGTTCCATTCTAAGAAATACAGGAACTAAAAGACTTTACTAGCCCATAAAAGATAAAATGTATGACAAAGATTATTATACTTATAAATCATCAGGGTATGTCTAGGAGGCAGGACTTAAATATTCAGCATATAACTTTCTCTGTCCTCTTTTAGATAGAATTATGTACCCAAGAGAAGCCAGCAACAAGGATAAAACTGGACATCAAAGTGTATTTTGGTAATACGGGTGAAGTTCTGCTGCAGCAGGCTGCATTGGTAAATACCTCACTTGCCGCAACCATACAGCAGCAGAAGAATGTCAGTATAGGAACCTGTTTCTGGCCACATGAATGAGTCTCAGTCATGTCACATTTCTGAGCTCTCCTATACACCTGACCTTGCAGTCATTCTTCAGGGGAAAAAAAAACCCAAACCAAACCAAAAAACCAGCCAAACCTGAAGGCAAACAAACCACACCAGAAAAAAACAACTCGCCAAAATACCACCAGAATCGGGAAGGTGGCTGCTCTGTTAACAAGAGAGCAAACCCAATTTTTCATTCAAATGGTGGTGTTCTACAGCTAGAATGTGCATCTGTGCTGAAAACTATTCCCACTTGTTAAAGGGAGGAAAAGGGACTTGTCAGTTATAAGGAAAACAAGGTCATTCATCCACACTCTTTTTGCACTGCCTTTATAAAGAGCTCCTGCGAGTGCCTTAATCTAGGCCCCAAGCTTGGGGGATAGCAATCGGAAAGTTACATGGCATTATATAATATATATTTGAGAATCAAAACTTACCATCTGGACAGTAACATCCATCAATGCAGGGAAGTTCACTGTTAATGCACTGTGATTTTTGATGACAGGAAACAGGGCAACAGTTGATGCATTCACTGTAGGTCAAGGGTTCAGCACAGGTAATCACTGAAAAATAGAAACAGATAGAGACCATGTCTCCCAAGACAGTGTTCAAGGCCAGGCTGAACAGAGCCTTGGGTGACATGGTCTAGCGTGAGGCATCCCTGCCCGTGGGTAGGGGGGTTGGATCTAGGTAATCTTAAGGTCCTTTCCAACCCTAACCATTCTATGATTCTATAAATGGCAAAGTATTGTGTTACTGCCTCAGCGCTTAAACTAGACTGCACACATTTGTTTCAGATATTTACTTTTTGATAAGTCAATTGAGTATCTGTTGTCCAGAACAATGAAACAATGGCTTTCATAACACACACAAACACACAATATACGTATATTCATATTCTGTCCGTATTGAAGATGCACTGAGAAGGAACAATCTTAAATTAAACCAAGGAAAACTCAGGGAACCTTCTCACAGCAGAGCTATTTAGATACTCAGACCAGCATAGGAAGTGGTAGAACATCCATTAACAAATATTTTTGGAAACACTGAGTAAACCTAACATCATGAATAACAAAGTAGTCCTGGTCCTGTGTTCCAGACAGGCAGGCAAATTAGATGATCTCTTTCAAATTTACTTTCTGTGATTTCTAAAATGACAACTAATGCAAGAGTAATTCAAGTTTATTTTTAAACACTCATGACAAATTTTGTGCATCAGAAACCCATGAAGACTTTGACAATATTTGGAAGAATAGCTCTATGAAAAAACAAATGGTTAATCATACTAAAGAACCTCTGATGTTTTAGTAAGAAGATTCTTAAAACATATTCTAATAAGGTTAGTGCTTTAAATACATTTAGTACAAATTACATATATAAAAAAACCACTTCTGTTTCATTTAAGTAGCCTTGAATTGGGCCAGTATTTATGCTTTCGGTGACAGCTATAGGAGTTAAAAATAGGAGAAAGGACAGAGGGGTAAAAGCACTCTTTTAAAATTACAACTATTAAGCAGTATTTCCAAGTATGAAAGCATCTTCATACCACACTGCTGAAAGTGCATTCTCCATCCATGAAGCGGCTTTCCTGCTTGGGCACATGCTCTGGCATATTCAGTTAATGCTCGACACCAAGTTGCATTATCAACTGCTGACCTTACACAAATAAAAATTGACATATTATTTTCTACCTACATTCAAACATGCAATCATAACTGCATGAATACTCCAGCATTGTATGCAACCATGTCTTTGAATCTACTTTAATAATGTTCTAAATTACTGTGCTGTTTGTCTGGGTTAACAGTTTCAAATGGCACACTTGAAGACAAGTCATCAATAAATCTAAGACCTGAAACTAACTTCCTGAATAAAATCATGAAAGCCAGAGATAGAGCAGTATTAACAGACCTGAATAAAGGTCTTCATTTTTACAAAAAGAATAACATCCTTCAGAAAACTCAAAAGAGGAAAGTATAAAGTTTCCACCAGTGAACCACCATGGTATGAGAAATTATCTTCTGTCCTGCCTGTTAACTTAACTAGTCAAAACTTCCTGAGCAAGGAGCATAGCAGGTTGTGAAATGTTAGCGTAAAATCAGTTAGTAATCAAATTCCTCTTTTCATTGGATTAACATATGGCTTGCAAATAACAAACTGTCCTATGCACCATTACTGTTCATTAAGGTTAGAAACACTAAGTTGCATACTCAGAATCAAAACAGATGCCATATTCAAGGGCAGGTATGCTTACAAGTTATGAAAATATCTGGGCATGATTTTGGTCATCCTTATACCAAAGAAAACAGGAACAACTCCACAGAAATTTCTGGCAGTAAAACCCGAAGTAAACCAGAAAGGCAAGATAAAAGACTGTTAGATGAAAAATAACATGCAGGACAAGACACACATTAGTTCTGTTAACATTTACAATTCATTCGCATGATAGATGGACAATGTTTTTTGAAATAGTTTTGGAATTATCGAAAAACGTTCACTTACATGCAAAGATCATTGGTGCAGCTTGCCATAAAAGGAAGAGGACTCACATATTCACGACATGTTTCAAATGGGGGATGTAACAGGGTGTTACACAGAGCGTATGCCCTCTGAAATGAATGAGATAGCTGTTGTGAAGAGAAGGTTTTAAAAAATAAACCTAAGCAGAACAGAAGACTACGGTAAATCAGAACAGATATCTTAGTCTGTGACTAGGAATCACTTTCCTCTCATCAACAAGAAGCAGTGGCTAGCAACATTGCTGTCCATGTCACAGTATTCTTTCATCCAAGGTCATACCAGCGGTAGTAAAATATATCCGCTCCCCAAGAAAGGCATAGACCATGTTGCAGCTAAGCCTAGATGACATGAAGTAGTCTTCATTTTAGTCAAATTACACAGTGAAAGGCAACAGAAATAAACCATGTCTGGCATGAGCTTTAGAATCATAGAATCAACTAGGTTGGAAGAGACTTTTAAGATCACCAAGTCCAACCACTATCCCAGGACTTCCAAGTCCACCACTAAACCATGTCACTGAGGGCCTCATCTACGGTTTTTGAACACTTCCAGGGATGGTGATTCTACCACTTCCTTGGGCAGCCTGTTCCAATGTTTGACAACCCTTTCAGTGAAGAAATTTTACCTAATATCCAATCCAAACCTCCCTTGAAGCAGCTTGAGGCTGTTATGTCTTGTCCTATCACTTGTTACTTGGGAAAAGAGACTGACCCCCACCTTGCTACAACCTCCTGAACTACACCTCCTACAACTACCTAAAAAGGTAGTTGTACAGAGTAATAAGGTCCCCCCTGAGCCTTCTCTTCTCCAGACTGAACAATGCCAGTTCCCTCAGACGTTCCTTTTAAGACGTATTCTCCAGACCCTTCACCAGCTTCATTGCCCCTTTCTGGACTCACTCCAGCACCTCAATATCCTTCTTGTAGCGAGGAGCCCAGAACTGAACACAGAAATCGAGGTGCAGCCTCACCAGTGCTGAGTACAGGGGGATGATCACTGCCCTGGCCCTGCTGGCCACACTATTGCTGATACGGGCCAGGGTGCTCTTGGCTTTCTTGGCTGCCTGGGCACACTGCAGGCTCATGTTCAGCAGTCAATCAGCATTCTCAGGTCCCTTTCCGCTGAGCAGCTTTCCAGCCAAGCCTGTAGCATTGCAGGGGATTATTGTGGCCCAAATGCAGGACCTGGCACTTTGCCTTGTTGAACCTCATACCACTGGCACAGCCCATCGATCCAGTCTGTCCATATCCCTCTGCAGAGCCTTCCTATCCTCCAGCAGATCAACATTCCCAGCCAGTTTGGCATCATCCACGAATTTAATCAGGGTGTACTCAACACTTTGAAACTTTAGTTTTAAAGGACTTCATTTCAGGGTTATGTCTTGAAAATATTACTTAAAAGGATAATCTGCTTCAATGTGATGGACAAAAGTAAGAATAATCTTTAAACAATGGCAAATTAACTGCAATCGCATTCTGGTTTTGCCTGCTTGCTTCTTTCCCTGCTTCCTAAGGGAAGCAATAGGAACCAGCTCTAGAATGCACCATAACTTTAAAACATTTAAGTTCCCAGACTCAAATGCTTTTATTGTTTGCTATGCAGACAATATAGTATTTTAAAAAATTAACAATGAAATACAAAAGTGGGGGCAAAAGGAGAAGATAAGGGAAGCTCTGCTGCAGCAACCATTTAAATCCATCTCTCCAAAGAACTGTGAATATTTTCAGTCTCCTTCAAAGCATTAAGTCAAATTCTCACTCTAATTAGAATCACCAACTATTGTAATAATCCTTTTGTGTCAATTCAAACCTGTAGAGATTCATGGCTTTGTCTCAGGCAGGGTGGTTCATTGAGAAGAGATTTATCCCAATTGAGTGATCCTTGCGGTGAACTTTCCTGCCAACTCTCTACAAATTCTGTTACATCGTCTGTCAGTTTTCCTAAACGAGACACACACACAGATACACACAGTGACTTGGAAGAACAACAGCATTTCTACAGGATTTTGCAGAGAAACATCTCAATAATCTAAACACCACATTATGCAGAGTGCGCCAAACCCTTCCTACAAGTAAATGAGAGAAACATCTCAATAATCTAAACACCACATTAAGCAGAGTGTGCCAAACCCTTCCTACAAGTAAATGAATCGGCTGTTAATCTGATGACAATCTGGTCCTTTAAAGAAATACAAAAATACTTTCAAAAGGGACTGTAGTAGGAAGGCTCTAGAATGGAAGAAAGAAGCTTAGATAGGCATTTTGGCAAGGAAAAGCTTTAAGGGAGTACGACTGTGCGTGCTGCATTCCTTGAATGGAAGACAGGAAAGAAGATGTGATAAACTATACATACATTGGTCTATGCTGATACTTTATATGAAACTCCTAACAGAGAGTCTACAACCCAAGAAAGATGAGGCATTTTGGGTCACTGCAAGGGTAACAAAATAATTTTCTACATTAACCAAAATAGATGTGGCTTTTTCACATAAGTATGTCTACACTAGTGTTAAACTACATAAGAAAGGTATTATCCATCATAGAAAAATAGTGACATTGATTACTGCTTGCATTACCCACAAATGCACATTTTGCCATATCTGTATTAATATACTGCTCCCCAAGCTAATTGGACAAAGCTTGCATGCAGGGTATCAACTCATGCTACAATCCCAGCTTTATGTGACTGAGACATCCTAGAGAAAGGTGAGAGGGTCAAGTCTCTGAAGGCAATGAGGACAATGAACTATTGATCTTGGTATTAATTTAAGCATTTTGATTTAGTGAGCAAACTATTCAATGGCGGTAAGGACTGGTAATAAGGGCTGATGTTTTCTGAAGTGGCATACAATGAAAGAAACCTACCACACACTGAGCATTGAAGTAGCACTCTACAGAAATATCCTAATCTTAAAGAGGAGATGCAAAAAGTTAAGCAGTCCAAAGCAAAGATTTCCGGAAGTTTTTATCGCCTAACTTGAGATACCTTTGAAGGGGTCTGATTTCCCTGCCCCACAACCCCTTCCAGTTCTTTATATTTTTACAGAGGTCTTCGCTCAATATATATTGAAAGCCAAGCCTCTTGCAAGTGTCTGAAAATTGGTATTGAAGGATCACTGGTCACTTCTGAAAGTGTTAGCAAAAATGAAAAGCCAGATCAAAAAAGATTTGTCAGTCTTCACTGATTTTATTTACCAATGAAAATTATTGGTTTATTTCCAACAGCTGTATCTCAGACTTCCACAGTCTAGAAAATTGCTGTGGACATTTAAAAATAGATTTTACCTTTTTTACCAAAAAACTGAAGTACAAATACTATTGTAGGTAATTGAGTAAGACAGCTTTTTAAAGATCTTCCTCCCCAGAGTCCCATCTGTATTGAAATTGGCCCTTTTCACTAACAGTATCATCTACCAGAAGTATTTCTGTATCCTATATTCCATTTCAAAAGTTTCCCATCATAAATTCAATTAGCATTATAATCAAAAGCTAAGCAAAGTAACATTTCTTTTACCTGAAAAAAAAAAACCAACAACAAAACAAACAAACCAACCAACCAACCCACCCACCCGTCCCCACCCCCCCAAAAAAAAACCAACCACCAAACGACACTGTATTACACAAGGGGAAATATTTTAATACTCACCATAACTTGTTTCAAGGTCATCCTGCAGGATAGCATTATTATTCCCACACAGTCCATGCGTTTTGCCCAGGTACTCTGGTGCCATTTTGATATACGCTGCAGATGCACCATCCCAAGCCAGAGTAAAACCATTCTGGTGCCTGACTAGGAAGTATCCAGCTAGTTTCTGGATGTGTAAGTTTCCAATAATATAAGGTAATTGTACTCTGAAATGACACAGAATCAAAAACAACTTCACATGAGAATATCACCATTACAAATAAATTACTTGCTGATTTAATGACTCTCTCACGCATCTGAAAAGCCCTGATATAAATATTGAGTTCACTCCACTAAAAGAGATGAAGTTGCAAATAGCAGCAAAAATCAAAGGATGAATGTCAATGGTTACACTTCTTAATACTGTATACTGCTCACTTATATATCACCTTCTTCAGACGCTATTCCGTAGACTGGGAGTATTGCTGTTGTCTGGATACTTTCTTTGAGCTACCAACAAGTAAGTGATCTAATTTACATCTCTGTTATCAAAAACATCACCATGAGATTTATTCCAGCGTAACTACAGCATCAGAAACATGAGTGCAATTACCCAAATCCTTTATAGGTGACTTCACTGCTCATCTTTATCTGTTCATCTCCAGAAAAGAATAAACTTATGGACCGTTTGCAGTAATAAGGAGAAGAATGGCATTCAGGATCATTATTCACCTGCCAAATGAAACCACTAGTGTCAAAGTCAAAGATTTTAATCGAATTCTTTGTAATCCACATTATACAACTAATACCCCCATTCCCACCATCAGCATGTGAACAAGTCCTTTGGTCCCAAAAAAAATCTCCAAGAAGATGAGTACAATTAGCACTCTTCTTGGACTGGTCTTTTCACAGCAGCAGCAGGCTTTGGAAGTACATGCACCAGTTTTCTTCCAGCTGTTTATATTTGTGCTTTTGTAACTGGTAGCCTACATCATGTTAGAATTACACCCACATTACATTCTAGAACACCATACTATCATCTCAAGTTATTTTTAATCTCTTAAAATTAATGCATTATTAGCATGTTCAACAACAGTTAAAAGGAATGTAGAAGCACAGTCCCTTACCTGTATGGAAAAACTCTGTTCATCTAATTCAGTATGTCTCACAAGCACGTATGTGGATTTCCCAGAAAAATAGTAATAGAGTCCATCAAAAGTTTCAAAATTATATTGACCCCATGTTCTGCATATATGGTCTCTTTCAGCACCTGTGTTATACACTAACAAAAGGAGAGTCACTTGAGACATAAGTGCTGGTTTTTGGATTCAACCTGTAGTTGAGATGTAATAGTATATGTGGTATGCTGTGAAATACCAACACAGAAAAGAAAGGGAGGGAAAAATAGAAGGGCACGAAGGAACCTTTAGGCAGTAGGCAGTTATTCTGGTAGCAGGGGGAATCCAAGCACAATCCCAGAAACCCAGTTCATTTTCTCCGTTTACACACCTGTCTGGCATCTTGGTCCAGTTGCGTTAAATCGACTGCAGTTGCATAGCTCTCTGTAGACACATTCTCCTCCATTAAAACATGTAAGTGAATCTGAGTGGAAAAAACAAGGCATGTTAAAAATAAAGTATGCTAATTTGTATTCTCAAAACCCAGTTCTGTCACTGAATGTAACTCCATGAATGACAGGAGATATCAGCTTAGCATTTAAGTGTCCAGGAAAATCCCACAGGCCTCCATGAACAGGAAACATACTGCAAAAGCATCACCTCAAGAAATACAGCCAGATGAAGTAAATCTACCGCACATTTACAGAAGCCAAATCACAATGGCTGTGATATCCATTAGTCTGACATGGTTTTAGTCCCATAAGCAATGAATACAGGAAGTGAACAAGTATTACACATCAAAAAATATCTATATCCTTATATAAAAGACTGCTACAAATAACACTTTATGGATAAGCTGTACCAGGATGAAAACATACTGCCCTGGAAGCATACCAGCTGTAAATCTTTGAGCTGCCTGTCCTCCTTCATCTTGCAACTTTCAAGTGTACCAACCACAAACATTTTCCATAAAGACATAGGCCACTTCTCTTTTTTCTCAGTTTATTAGAGGAATGCTTAAGTATAGCAAGCCTACTGTAGAGAAACCAAGTTCCCTGACTTGCAAAGAGGTTTGGGCTTGGGGGAGAGAGGTGTTGACTTATTTACTTCTTATTTACCCTGGGAAGATCCCCATCTAAACCTGACAAACCAAGTTTTCACAGTCTAAGGAAAGATGTGCACAAGCAGGAAAAAAGCTTCTACTACTAAATTTAGACTTCGTGATTAAATGCTTTTCTAACAATTTTAATATATTCACTTACTTTTCTAACGTTAGATCTTTTTATAATTTAAGTCTTTTCAGGAAAGCATTTGAATTTTAACAATTGAATTAGGAATTGTTGTGTTTGTTAAACAGAAACAGAGATTGCATTTGTTGCAGACAAGTTTCTCACAAGAAATTATTTCAGGAAGAGGCAAACTAAAGACTCAGCCTTTTTGTTTTCTTTATCTTTATAAACACCATCATTCTTGAAAAATAATCTTTTATATGAATTTTTAAGTGGTGTTCTGAAAACCAGAATTCACAGAAGATATTTTCTTCCATTTCAGTAAAACCCTCACTTATGAAATACCACACATGAACAGAAGTCCTAGCATACCTAGATTACATTCAAGCTTTTGAGAAAGCTTTGCTAAAGAGGGTTTAAAGCTTTGTTGCAGGCAAAATAAAACAAGCTCCATTACTTAAAATCCAAGTAAACTCTACAACTGAGTTAGTCTTGACAGTTAAGACTTTAGGTTTGCTTTATGATTTCATGGCTCACACCATCTTTAAGTTTTGTTCTCACTATTGGCATTCACTAAACACCAACATCAAAAGCAGATTCTGAACTACTTTACAGAATAATTGAAATGGGTTTTTTTATAAATTGATTGGAAGGAAACAAATGTTTTCTAAGAAGTCAAGATTTGATCATTGACATCCTACTGCCATTAAATGGATGCTGGATTCTTTATCCCAGTAACAATAACAGAAAAATAAACCAATTTCTGAGGTTGTATTCTCCTACTGATTTTTCTCCCCTCTGCTAGAAGCTCATTTTATTTCTGTTTTACCTATGCCGATTTCCTCCCAACATCTTTTATAGCACAGTTTGTTTTGCCAGCATCAGAAAACATCAACAGAAGCACCACTACAAAAGCCAGTGAGCCATACCCTCTTACTAAGAGCTTTAAATACACTAAAATAATCCAAAAGCAAGTTGCACATGGAGGGTGTCCTGTAAGTGTATCCTATCCCACAGCAAGTAAACCTCTGAAAAGAATCAGAAACAGCATTTTTAAGAAGATGCTACAAACATTCTCTAGCTCCTACTGTAGCTTGAGCAAGACTTCCAAATGCTTCTTAAAAACCTCACCTGATTTGCAAGTGTCTATCACACAAAAATTATTTTCAGATGAGCACACCAAGTAATAGTGCACCCAAAATTTAATTCATATGCAAACTAGTCAGAATTCATGGATAGAATGCTGTTAACACTTTGTTTTTTGTATGGCTACCTCAAATATCATCATCAGCTGGTTTTCCCAAGTGTGGTCAATGTAAAAGTTTAATGAGGAAAAAGGTCATATTTGAAGTTCCTTCTGCTTTGTGAGATCCTAGAAACTTTGAAAATATAAACTCTGTGTTCACAAATGGCTATAATGTTAGAATGAGAAAGACTTCAAGAAATTTACAGTGTACCATAATTAAAAAAGAAAGCTTACACGCCCATCTGCTTTAGGCCATGTGATTCTACAAAATATTATCTTCAGTTACAAGTTTATAGAACCCTTGCTTACTGAGTTCTGCCAAAATTTGTCAGTAGAGTTCATCAATGTTTATATAGCCATTTTCATTTGTAAATACATTATAAATACTAATTACTTACATGAAGACTTTTAAAATATCCAAACAATTAATTTTGATTTCTTTATTTTTAATACACACCATTGCTCTCCCCACCCAAAATAAGAAAAAAAAAAAGGGGGAGGGGGGGGCCATGCTGAGAAGAACAAGGCGGGTAGACAAAGTAAAAGTGAACACTCCTTTGCTTAGCTACCCTGAATATACAGCTCCTTTCCCTGCCTGAGTAGCATGAGTTCAATTTAAAAACTAATGCAAGCACCATGTAGAAAGGTCCCTCATTTACATTTACACTCCTTTGCTTAGCTACCCCAAACATACAGCTCCTTTCCCTGCTCGAGCAGCAGGAGTTCAAATTAAAAACTAATGCAAGCACCATGTAGAAAGGTCCCTATTTATTCTGACTGAGCCATCTCATTTACATACTCACAGTGACCAATCTTGTCACTAATGCAAAAGCCTTATTCCTCTTGTCAAGAGAGGCAGACATCGATCTCTTTCATCTCAAGTGTTGCGAGACCTGTGTAATCAGAGCTCAGGTCTCTGTTCTTTGCTTCTCTAAGATTATGCCCCATTGCCTGTCCAGTTACAATAATGTGCAATTAGACTTCAAGTCATGTTCCT